TATAATTGTGGTCGTTACAAGAGTATTCCACGGACGAACGCCAAAAATTCGGAGAATTTACGTGGTACGCTCTCTCAAGAAGGCTGTAGTTTAACTAAAATCCCGCGCGAGAAATAGAGGAAATATCCGTGCCAGCTCGTTCCGTGTTAAATCGAAACGAAAGTTCATCGAAAGGACGGCCCTGTTCCGTTCGTAACTGAACCAATTCCAGCGGATTGGCTCGTTGATCGGTTTCTACTGTCGCTGGGCAGGTCGAACGTACCTATCGAACCAGTTTCGATACCAAAACACGTTGCCAGGAATGGCAAGGACGTCGATCGGACGCGCCGAGACGAAAAGAGAGAACCAGAGCACCGAGTTACGAAATCGTCTCTTTCCCCCGATTACTCGTGCACAATACGTTAATGAGCGACCGGCGACCGTTCGTTGCTTAACGTCTCCTTGCACAAGGGAAGTGCCGGGTTCCGAGGTTTAGTGCTCTCCGCGAGAAACAGCGGAGAGAGTAGGAGGCCCGGGTTCATTGTTGGCTAGCGCTCGCCGTGTTATACAACAAATTCACCGGGTTTCCGCTCCATCCTTTCGGCAATGAGTCTCAATGAGCGGGTGAGTTAGCGTGTAGTCACTCGGACAGCTCTTTTGATCGAGATTCAGACACGAGGTATTCCATTTTTAGCGATGTGATAAAAGTAGAGGGAAGATAATAAAGAAGAAAGTTCCACCGTGTGGAAATTGGTCTGACGGTGTATATATTGATGATAATTTTAGCAGTAAATGGGAGAGCAACATCAATGGAAATATCGTAGCGTTGCGATAAAAAGTAAAACATTCGTACGTGGTAACCGGTCTGACGAAGTAAACGATAAACGTGTATCGTAATTCTAGCGGCAAATAGAACGGGCAAAGGAAATTGTAACGCTGTTAATCGTGGTTGATCGATGTTTATTGTTCGATCCTTGACGTCACTGCCTCTATTTTCTCAAGGTGCACTCGCGTGCACTCGGATCGTTGATCAATTCAGAGTGCCTCCGCAATAGATTCGAGTACTTGAAAAAAAAATACAACCAGATCGATACGTTTCTGTCTCACTCTAACTTCCTCCTCGTCTTGTTTCTTTCTCGTTCCGACTCTTACTCTGTGAGACTTTTCTCTAGCCAGTTAAAGTTCGAGCACGAGCAATCGACGTCGTTGCGCAATGAACGGACGTCCGGCGATAGAGATCGATCGAGGGAGAAGTTTGCTCCGCCGAAGGCCGATTTCAAATCGATTGGTCTAAAGACGACTTGTTCTGTAGACTAATCGTTCACGTGCATAGTGGTGAATTAGATTACTTTCTTGCAAACCGGAGAAAGAGAGAGAGAAATCGTCGAAAAACTGAGAGATAAATTGCTATCGAATGAGAGAACGATTAGGCCTTATGATAGATCCACGTGTGTAATAGTTACAAGCGAGACACGTAATAGCGTTGAAAACTCACCTTTCCAACAACGGATCTTCTTCGGCTTCCTTACTGGGAGATCCGCCTTCGGGACAACCTACGTTACGCGGCCAGTCGCACGTCTGCAACTCGTGACTGTGAAAAAAAAAGGAGAAGCAACAGGAGTTTTCCTCGATATCGTCTCGTTACTTTGCTTGTTGAAAGCAGTCGCGGAACACGTCAGGTTGTTGCATATGAAACGGTCGATTTCACAAACGTATAAAATTATCCCGGAAGTTTAATTGGAAGTTGCTTGATCCATTAATAACCAAGCCATCGGCAATTTATCATAATACTACGAGTGCTTTGATCTTTTCAAACTTGCAGAATCTATAGTACATATTATAGGATCTATAATTGACGATGATACAACGATGAAAGGAACGTTGCGCCGATCCTTGAAATTTTCTTTCCGTAGCTTCAACAATAAAACCATGGAATAAAGCTCAGACAGCTCGAGTCCAGAGTTTTACGATATGTTTGTTGCAAAGAACAAGAAGAGGTTCTTGTGGAAACTTTCGGAAACCGATTCGTCTTTGAACGCTTCAGGTAAATTTCAGGTAAATTTTTGTGCACCCTTAATTGGACGCGGTATCACCATGGTGTATTTTAGATCAAACAGATCTCTTTTGTGAGCGAACTCGTTTGTATTGCGGAAGGCGTGGCATGCTAATTCTTTCCAGAGTTGTGTGTCTATGTCCCCTTTCTGTGTCGTAAATCCAGATTGAAAGTAAGACAGGCTCGCGTCTTCCCTCCATTTATTATTATTTTCAGATAAATCCTACTCATCCAGTGAAATATTTAAAGAACATTTTCTTGAAGCTTCTTGCCTCTGAAGGAATTCTCGTTGAAGTTTAACATCGTGATTCGCTGATCGCTGAATAGTCGAAACTGAAACGTTGATGAAAAAATAAAAGAAAGAAGTAGCAAGATCGGCCGGTTAGAAAAGAGAGATTCTTTCACTCGATGATCTACCCACAACGATGTAACTTCCATACTATTCACACACTGTAACGTATCGTTTCGACTTCCAACGTGTTCCTTTTTCTCGATCGAATATGGCGATCCAACTGGGGAACAAGTTTCTTCGGAATCATTCCTTCCAAATCGCGCGGTGTTCATCACGTGTATTTAGAATATCTTTCGTTCGATACGTTGTAGATGTTATTCGAAAATGCGTGGAATACGCGCCTACACGTTTTAGATTTTAGATTTCGAAACGGTGTACAAGGAATCAAGAACAAATGCTAGAAGTTGCTCCTAGCTTCTCGAAAACGTGGACGTTTCGAAAAGAAATTCAAGCCTGAAGAAACGAAGAAGAAATAGAAATTCTCCGCGGAATCTCGCAACACACACACACACACACACACACACGAGTCCTGGGAAGTACGGTAGAAGTACATCCATTAGGCTTGTCTATATCTGGACAATACCAGCGTTTCGCTTTCAATTCGACGCTCTGGTATTATTCGCTCGCGTTTCAATTCACCGCGCTACTAATTTCTGCCCATATTAGTATAGATCGGTCGAGGATCGGCTGCACTGTTTCTGCCGGCGATCAGCTTGCTCGACTGCGTTCACACGTGTGCGTGTCCTCTCGATCAATTGTCGGCTTATCACGAGGCAACACATCGTGATGATATCTCACAGTATCTTGGACATAAATTTCCCTTCACGCAATACGCTTTAATACAACTTTACAGCAGGAATTAATACATTAGAATAATACGGATAACAGAGATACGGTGACAGATTAACAGAGGGATTAACGAAAGAAAGTATTAGATATGATAGACGAGAATTGTATATATATTCACCTGTACATTAATCCTCCTGTGCAGGATTCGAGTAAAGCACCGCCGAATACGCAGACATAGTACTGCGTGCAATCACGCGGATGTGGGTAATATCCGAATTCCTCGGGGCACTCGAATTCCAATGCCGCTTCGTTTCTGCTCGCTCTGGCGCTTCTGGGAATCGGGTTTCGTTGACATCCTGAAAACAAAATTGCAATTTTCGGTTAATTTTT